GCGTGGTTGTGCTTTGGACTGTAGCAAGCTTCAGAAGAAAATGTCTAATTGTGCCTGGATTTATTTTATAAGTTGGGACTGTTTCAGCAGTCTGTGTGGCCTTCCATTCAGCTGTTTGTTTAAGCCAAGCCAAAAGCCACTTATCTAAAGATGATTTATTCTCACTCTTGAGCTGACAGAACCAGGCTGGGAATGGCAAAAGCTGAATTGTAGGGTTTAGTCTGAGCTCCCGCCTTTGGTCAAACCATAAGGGGAGCATGAAGGAGTGGCCGTAACACTGTTTTGGAAGGTACTTGTGGGTCTCTTGTACGTTGCTTGTAGGACACCTTTTTAAAATAAACAGCTGTGGTATGTGATTGACTCAGATTTGAACTTTGCAGCTGCTCCTTCCTATCTGCCTGGTATGCCAAAGCAAAACCCTGCAGCTCAACATCTCTAAAATCAAACCTTAATTCAAATATTATAATTTGGATCAGCTTCTGACTTTCTGGTTTTGTCAGTGTAAGCAAAATGGAGGCAAGTGTGTTTCGTTATAGAGTTCAGAAAAATAGACGTTATTTATTTACTTAGAGTCGCGGAATCATAGAATCATTTAGGTTGGTATCGAGTCCAACGGTTAACCTAGCACTGCCAAGTCCGCCACTAAACCATGTCCCTAAGCACCACATCTACACATCTCTTAAACACCTCCAGGGGTGGTGACTCAACCACTTCCCTGGGCAGCCTGTTCCAATGCTTGACAACCCTTTCGATGAAGAAATTTTTCCTAATATCCAATCTAAATCTCCCCTGGCACAACTTGAGGATGTTTCCTTTTGTCATAGAATCATAGAATCATTAAGGTTGGAAGAGACCTTGTCCTATCACTTGTTACTTGGGAGAAGAGACCAACACCCACCTGGCTACAACCTCCTTTCAGGTAGTTGTAGAGAGCAATAAGGTCTCCCCTCATCCTCCTTTTCTCCAGACTAAACAGCCCCAGTTCCCTCAGCCACTCCTCATAAGACTTGTGCTCTAGACCCTTCACCAGGTACTTAGCATATAGCAATGTTGTATAGTAAAGGCAACAGCTGAATAGTCTTAGCTAGATATTTGAAAGTACAACTTGAGGCAGAGTATCTGGCTGTCAAAATTTCATCTAAAGAGGAAGAAAGTTTTAGTGATATTTTAAGATGGTTTGTTTTGTTAGATTGAAACAACCAGAAGGTTTTGGCATTCAAGAACTCAATTTTATTCTCTCTGGATGCTGTGAGGATCTGATGTTCTCACTGAGATCATTTCACTGTATTAGCCTTCACTTAATGCAGAGCCTGACCATGAGCATGGTGCAAGGAGCAGAGTAAATGAGGCTGAAGGTGTAGTTTCAAGCTGCCCAGTTGAAGAACGGTAGGTTGTATGGTGGGGTGGGATGGTGCTGCTGAGACCCTCGTGCTGGAGAGCTGCTGTGGTGTGCGGGTCACGCGGGTGCTTGCTGTGCAGGGCTGTTTCCCTCCTGGGCACCCACTTGCCCAACGCAGATGGTCTCCTTCCACACCTGTACAATTGAATGCAATAGTAAAAATAGAGGGAGGCCCAATTGACTAAGGGGCGAGCCTACTTTTCATAGTCCACTTCCTCAGCAAGAATTATTTTGAATGAGTTAATTCCAAAGGGGTTAAAGAACTGTTGTATATTTTGAATTTGGGCTGTCAAAGCAAATATTCTGACAGTCAGTCAGAAGTGGATATTGAGTGGCGTGCTGTGAAGAACATACAGTTCTGTCATGGAAAAAACTTGTCAAGGGATGGGAAACTGAGAGGAGGAATAAACAGCCAGTTTTCAACCTTGCAAGGGCCTAGCTTGAATTTCTGTTGAGAAAAATGGAAGGGGTGAGCAGAGTGCTGGAGGGAAGCTTCATGAAGCGCATTTATTTAGCACAGTCTGTATCTGGAAAAGCTTTAATGTATGGCACAAACATGCTATTGGAGCCGTGTGAGAATTGGTTAGGTTCATTTGGGAACTCAAGGTGGACTGTGTTGGAAGGAAAAGGTTAACTACACAAGTGTGACTGAATTGTAACTTACCTCCAGTACTTTATCTGCAACCTTTCCTTGCTAAGTCTCACAAAGAAGAAATGGCCCTGCCCCGTCTCTGGTCTATGCGCCATTCTGCTTTGTATGTTTCTGTCCGTCTGCTCACAAAAAGGAGATGTAGTTGAGTGCTGCTCCCATTCGAGGGCATCACTAGTGCAAGAATAAATTTATGCAGAAGTTCTCCCATGAATAAGGGTATGTTGCTCTGGAGATATGTTTTTTTACCAGAATAAAGTACTTGTTGCCTGGGGAAAGCCGAATTGTGAAGGTTTCATCGAAGTACATTCTGTTGAACTGTAGTTATCAATGACATTTACTAACCTTTAGGTGCTGTGAAGCCTCCCTGTGTTGCAAAATGGGGAAGTATATGTTCCAGTGAAGTCCTGAGATGTGACACGACTTCCATATCATCTTTAGACAGGCTATTTCGCTTATGCAGTGACTTTTCTGGAGATACTGTGTTTTTAAATGTTACTGAATTTATTCTTGCACTTGCATTTCAAATGGAAAAGAACTCCATGGTTTGGTCTTTTCTTCTCATTCTAATATAGCATTCCATGTTTGTTATCAGTGCCATGTTTTTATGGCTGCTAGTGTTAATCTGGAATTCCCACCTACTTAAGTAAATATGAACTTTGTTCTCTTCCTTCACCTTTATTAAATCTGTGTTTAATAAACAGTATTTTATG